CTTCAGTAAAGACTTGTGGCTTAAAATAAAGACAATGCAGAAACCAGAAATTCTCAACAAGTGAACTGACTCCCTATTCTAAACAATTCTGCTTAGAGCAGCCGAAAAATAAAAGCAATCCATTTTTGCTCAATATATCATATTCTACGGTAGCACATGCTGTTTAAATGGTATGAGAGTTATGACGGTATAGCCATAAATGACTATGATAATTCCATATTTGAATGAGTAAATGTCAAATACCATAAATTAACACACAGAAAAAGTATCTGTGTCCTATTACTGTTTAATGTTGGGTTCCATTAGTATGATCTGGTGTAAAGCAGTTAAAACAGATATTACACAAATGTCACAGAGGTATCTACACCAACTATTAGGAGAGTCTGGAAACTTTCCATTAGTCCTGGTTATTTATACTTTATGCCACACAGGAATGTTCTGCAGAGATGTTGACATGGATTAAGAACAATTGATTACTTAGTTGGTTTACAGGGGTGTGGGCAAGTTTATGTTTAAATTCTTTGCTGTGTCCCTACAAAGAACACAACACAGACATAATGTAACTTACCATAAGATTTTTGTTTTAAACCAAAATCATGACCTATTATTTTAACCATTGTATATGATTCATTTAAATTTCATAGACCTGACCCTAATTATTCATACACATTCCTCCCATCCAACCCCAATAAGATTACTTCAACCTATTGTGCTGTCTAGGTTAAGAGAGAAGCATTAATTCAATGGTTTCCTATGGGGATTTCACTGTCACTAGATGTCCTCATGCAGAGCGTGAGGACGTCCAGCATCATTTAGGCGACAAAAAATCTTTTAGCAACCAGGAAGTGCCTCTAGTGGCTGTCACATGCATAACTTACACATACAGTATAATTGACTACACACATAACTAGCTAGACACACATATATATTTAGAAACACAGAAACATACAACATCATGCAAATAAAACAAAGTATAAGTGGAGCTCTGGTTTACCTGTATAAACAGTAGTATAATAAAGATGGACAAAAATGCTATTATAATAATCTGTAAATAAATAACAGTAAATCTTAGTGCAGACGGTAGTCACAAATTGAAATATATAAGAGATAAATTGTAGATGGGTAACTCACAAAAGTAGAGCCAATGACACACTTGGCTCTAGTGGTAAGTACCTCAGGATCTTCTAAGGGAGATCCACCACCCTCTTTTAGTTGCCTCCTGATGTCCTCCACCTTAAATTCAGGTATGAATGGAATGGCAAACTCCAAATGACGATGTAAACAAAATTTATTATATTAAAAGTAATCAATATAAAATAAATATAAAAGTAATATTGTTAAAAGTACATAAAATGGTTCCAAAACGCGTTTGGCCAATAAAACTGGCTTCCTCAGTTGGTATCTCTTATATATTTCAATTTGTGACTACCGTCTGCACTAAGATTTACTGTTATTTATTTACAGATTATTGTAATAGCATTTTTGTCCATCTTTATTATACTACTGTTTATACAGGTAAACCAGAGCTCCACTTATACTTTGTTTTATTTGCATGTTTTGTGTTGTGAAGGTTAAGGGATTCCTTCACTTAAGTGTTAGAGCCTGCTTTCACCTTGCTGGTTTTGTGTGCACCGTTTCATTTTATATACAACATCATGCAACTAGCCCCACACCTGCATATCATACATATCTACACACTTTTGTAAATCAAGTTAGCAACATTCATACAAAGAAACACTCAAACACATGTAGACATATACTCAATTACAATGATACATACAAATTGATAGACACAAACATATACAAAGAAGCACATTCACATAATCTAAATTAATTCTGCACACAATTCTTTTACTATTGCTCATCTTTTTTACTGGTAAGGAAGAAATGAGAGGTGATCTAAAGTCAAGCTGCCTCTAGGGATTTAGGGGTATACCATCTAGAGGTTGGAGAGCTGTGCCCTGCACACAGATTCAATTGTGCTCCTCTTAGAATGCTGCACATTAATAGGCAGTGGGTGGTGGGATATGACACTGCCCTCTCTGCTATCAGTCACAATATAGTGGGGTTATGTTTAGGTTTCTGGGAGCTAGGCAACATATTAACTAGCAGTGAAGCTCTGTGAATATTATTGGGGTGATGTAAGGGGTTGGTGGGAGAGAGCAGATTTAGGACTCTGTTGAGAACTCATATCATCATATATTATATATCACTGCTCACTCTCTAAGTGAGTATGCTTCACTGCTGATGGGGGGGGGGGCACAGGGGCAGTGAGGAGAACATTTAATCAAGAGCAGGGTATCAGATTGCTGCCTTATGTAAAAATAAATAAATATATATTTTATCACTTGTTTGTGGGAGACTTTTTCTGTCCCCACTTGGTACTTCCTTGGTCCCCTGAAGCCTTTGGGATCTCCTTCCAGAAGGTCCCACATGCATATTTATAACAGTGAAGTCACTATTATCACTATTTTTGTCACGTTTGGTCATATTATATGTTATATTCTTTACATTCATTCTGATGTTGCTGAATTGTTATTACTTACAGATCACAGATTGTTCTTGGTTCCTGATAATATTAAGACCTTGAATAAACTTCTTACAGATGCTCCTTTGACATCTGGATTTTTTTTTGGGGGGAAGAACACTGATTCACTTCTACTGACCTAAATATGTCATGTTTATCCTCAAACTCCAGTAAGCTACCATTTGTGAGTAATACGAAAGACTACATAGCACTGTGCAAATTAGATTTTTTTTAAATCATCCAGTTAATGATTTTTTGCATTACACCATGGGGATTGAGTATTAAAATACATATGTTACGAAACTGGTGAGAACATTTGAACCATATTTCCTATAAGATAAAGGGATTTTAAATAGGTGGAAGTCAAATGTTTCCTTACATAAACTTTTATAAAATGATTTTTAAAAAAATTCTATTATTATTTAGGCTAGAAAGACAGTGCTAGTGTTGGATTTTAGTAGGTTATTAGGCTAAAGCATGAGGTTAAATCACTAGTTGTATAGACTGATTTAGATTAAAGGCATTATGCCCATGAGTAGTAATTTTAGTAAACAGAGAGGGAGATTAGCCCCAACAAGGGGGAGATCAATGCTGATATATATACATAAAAAGAACAGAAAAATACTTAACAGCTAAATAGCTTCCTTAAGGATAATTCTTATGTATTGGAGGTCTAATGCCCCACAGCTCAAATACCGCCATCAAAAGACTAATAACTTTATTCTACTCATATACAATAAGGTACAATGTGGACTACAGCTGGGTAGTAACAAAAAATATATATAAAAAGCCGCTCCACACTCTATCTCTGTCAAGTGGTCTAAAAAGTAGCAGTAAAAAGTATGTGGTTGGTCTTCAACCTATTAATTGTTACTGAGACTAAATACCGGGGAAAAATATACAGAGAGTTAGGAGAGATTCACTAAAAATATGTCCTCCTATGGCTGTATAAAGCAAGAGAGTAGCATAATAAGTAGAGATAGGCGAAATAAAGTGAATCACAATAATAAGGAAGTATAAAAAATAAATAATAAGTCTGTATTGGTATGGTAATCATGGAGACTATAAAAGATGATAATCTATGAATCCGGCTGCCTATTTAAGTTGCCACTCCAGTATATAAAGCAATTAAAAATTGATCATTTTTGTGCCTCACCCAGATCCGCATGAAAACTGTGAAGTGAATCTGTGAAGCAGATCTGGACCATTCATGAGGGATATACTGTTTCATTTTTTGGGATGTTCTTTAGAAGGCATTTTCATTGTCTGTCATTTTGGCAGTATCTATGAGGCTATTTATAGCGGCATTTATTTTATGAGTGCAAACCTTCTATTCAGCATTATTGGAAATTCTGGAGGTAGGTGAAAAGTAATTGATAAAAATAATAATAAATACAAAAGTGAAAAAAATCATAACAAATATCTATACAGTGTTGTACTTCATAGGCTATAAAATGCAGTAGTATTTAAATTTTCTATATAAATTATCTGAGATCATTGATGAATGGGTAATATGAAAATCCCTCATTTAATCCATGCAGAGATAGTTTTTAGGCGGTAAATCCAGTAGCATTCTCTTTTTCTCAGATGTTGGTCCGAGTTGCCCTTCCTCTGATCCAGCTTAACTAGCTCACTGACTTGTGGGGTCCCCATGATGGACAGTCTTTACGTGTCCAGAGACTGGGATCTCAATGTTTTTCACAGTTTTTACAGAATGGATGTGTTCTAAAATTTGTCTTTTGAATGGACAGAAAGTCTTCCCAACATATAACATACTGCACTGGCATGTGATAAGGTATACCACCCCTTTAGAGTTGCAGTTAAAAAAGGAATGGGATTGAAACTTTTCAGTATGTGAACTGTTTGAATTCTTGCAGATGTAGTTGCATGCCTTGCAACGACCACATTTGTAGGTTCTTGTCAATTTGTTAGATACCCAGTGTGTAACCAATTTTGTTTGTTGAAAGTGACTATGTACTAATGAGTCTTTGAGGTTTTTGCCCCTTCTTGCCACTAGGCATACATGTGATGGAATAGCATCCTTTAGTGAGATTTTAACCATATTTCCTATAAGATAAAGTGATTTTAAATAGGTGGAAGTCAAACGTCTCCTTACATATCCTTTTATAAAAGGATTAAATTTTTTTTTTATTTTTTATATTATTCAGACTAGAAAGACACAGTGCTAGTTTTGGATTTTAATAGGTTATTGGGCTATAACATGAGGTAAAATCACTAGTTGTATAGACTGATTTAGATTAAAGGAATTATGCCCATGAGTAGTAACATGCTATTCCTAACCAGAGAGTAAGAAACAAAAATACAAAAAACAACTACAATATACCACAGAGTGTGAAATCATAAAAATAATGTATATACAGTTCTGTGGTAAGTTTGGCAAAACCTCCACCTGGTGCCTTCACCCTATGCCACATATGGGCCTCAGCAAAGCGTCTGTGGCAGTAATGGTTGTTTAGGCTGGGATCTCATTCAGCATATGACTACCACGGGTTACCTTGCATTCCTGCAACATAGCCAGACACTGCGAGTCTCTGTGCCCAAGTGTTGATAGAAGGGGCTGGTCTTCATGCAGAGTCTTGATCTGGAGTGGAGCGAGGTGTTGCAGTCCTCTGGACCCAGGAACTGTCAGGTGGGGCATTTGAGCTTGTTGGGTCAGATTTCTCCGTAGTGCTTTATGTCCCTGGTGGTGTCTCATATGAAGTTTTAGCTTCTTGTGCAGGGGTAGAGTGCGCAGCTTGGTGCGCCACCATGATGAGGCCCGTTTTGCCAGTAAGACTTTCGGAGCCTTCCTCTGATTTGAAGGCAGCATCTTGAGTAGGTGGCTGCTTAGTTGATGTGAGGCAAGTGGCTGTGTTCTGCTTTCCAGCTTGCACCAGAAATTGTCAAATAGCGCGTCCAGCTTGTTCAAGACTCTATGGTGTGAGTCAGTAGGACTGGGGAGACACATGGCATCCACCATGATAGGTGTCACACTGAGTTGTAGGCTTATTTGTGTGGCTTTGACCTGCGCTCCTTCTAAGTAAGGTTTGCCTCCCAGGGATGGACCGTGATCACCTGCGACAGTCCAGGGGGGGGGGGAGTAACAGCGCTCTTGCTCGTTGTGAATCATCGCTATGCAGCGTTGGACTGGGAGATTGCCCGCCTCTTCCGCCCGATACATACAGTGCCTCATGCTGCAAGGAGTGCGGCCAGCAGGCTCCAGTTGGGTCACAGACCACAGTGCCGGTTCCAAGCCCAATTGTGGGTCAGGTGAGTCAATTCTCATCTAAATTAAGCTGTATCGGGCTAAAAGTGCCATTAATTGCCCTAATTTCTGAGGAGCTCTGATAGAGCATGTCTCTCCTCCATGCTAATCAGGTCCCGCCCCCATCTACAACTTTTAACAGTCATAATGTTCATGTCCTCAACAAATGGAATTGATTTGCTAAAAACGATAAAAGCAGTGATTTGCGACCATGCCCGTCACTCCAGGGGGCCCTTCGGACCCCTGCGACCAGGTGCCAGCCGCCATGTGTTGTGGTTGCAAACCACTGGGGCCGCACGTACAAGGGGCCCATTGGGTGGCCCATGCTGTTAGGGCCACCCGATAGAGATGAATTTACAGGGCGCCCTGGTCAGTGCTGCTGCGCTTTAACAGCGCAACCAGGCCCCCTGTGATGACATCACAGCTGGGAGGAATTGACTGCTGTCACTCCTCCCACCTATCAGTAAGAGCCCGCACGACAGGAAGGAAAGGGTTTTTGTTTGTATGTATGTGTGTATGTGTGTGTGTCTCTGTATGTGTGTGTGTATGTGTCTCTGTATGTATGTGTGTGTGTATGTATGTGTGTGTCTGTCTGTACCTGTATGTGTGTGTCTGTCTGTACCTGTATTTGTCTGCATGTATGTGTGTGTGGGGGTGGGGGGCATGGATCAGTTTTGCACTGGCGCCCCATGGATTGTGTGTATGCCACTGGATAAAAGCAGCTAGATTTCAAATAAATGTAATAAGCTGGAATGTAATACGTAAAGGCCATTGTTATGTATAAAATTGAGATAGAAATGGGAAGATCAACAGGGGCCAGTGATGCCATAAGGTCAGTAAAGGTGTGTCAGACCAGAAGGAATGCACACCATGGTGACATTCCATTGTGACAGCTAACCCCAATTAGGGCTGCATTTGTGCAAAGCTCTATTGAAGAGCTTCCCCATGGGCTGGATGCTCTGAATTCAGTTTACTTCTTGTGAAGGTGCTTGTACTGCACTTTATAGGACACCAGAAGCAGAACAGAGACCAAGCAGGAGGGACAAACAGGACTCCACGTTTTGGACCGATGGGACAGTTGGAAAGTATGTTACAGAATTCTAGGCAGTTGCAATGACAGTCCAAGTATTATTTATTAAACTGCAGTAGACATGTAATGTGTTTTATTGCTGGAGAGCTTATATCAAAGACTTGCTTAACACACTTCTTTCATTATCTAAGTGCAGATAAGTGTACATTGAAAACATATTATTTTACTTCACATTAAGATGTAGTTGATAAATATCTTTAGAGCACAGCAAATCTCAGTGTCACATTTACCCTGCTTTTCAGCCTCTGTTTCCAGCAAAAGTCACACAAATGTCAGGGATGTTAGCAGTATGATTGATGAACCACTTAGAATACTAAGGGGGTCAAGTAACGTTTATCTCTTGACACTGAATATCTCTTAAGGGTGATCATTTGTTCTTTCAGATTTAACCATTGGGGCCTTCATGTCAGATAGCGTGGTGCTGCTAAGGTAAGAACTTTTTTTTTTTCTCAATTTCAGATGGTATCTATATGAAAAATATTTTGCTTAACTCCTTCTTAGTTTCTTTCCATTGCATTGTACTTGTCTCAGTTAAATGACCAAAGACACAGAATATAAACCCACCAAAGAGGGACAGAGAAAATATCTATCTTGGTCCTTACAGTGGCTGGGTTGAACAAATTTAACTCCTTAATGACCGCGGATGCACTAGGTACGTCCGGAAAAAAATGGTCGTTAAGGTCCTAGCTACGTCTGCGGCAAAAATGACCCATGTACTTACCTGGACTGGTGACCCGCGGCGATCCCGGTTGGAGACCCCAGCAGTCTCCCTGCAGCAGTTACGGCCACCGCAGCCCTCCAGGGCAATGTGATCACCATGATCACATGGCCGCAATAGGAGTCAATGGTGCTGCAAGCAAGGGGACTGTCTGAGCTGTCAGGCAGTCCCCTGAAACCTAAAGTGAAAAAAAAATCTAATAATAAAATAAATATATGTATAATATATTATAAAATAATGAAATAATTTTACAATATATTATAAATATATAATGCATATATATGCAGGGACGTATTAGCCACGAGGCAAACAAGGCATTTGTCTTGGGTGGCACTTTCCAGGGGGCGGCAAAAAAAGCCGCCCACAAATGCCCAGGCAAATGTCTTGTTAGCCTAGCGGCTAACTGACAAGCTGGGCGGGCGGGCGGGCGGTCGGGCGGCACTGGCGAGGGAGCACTGATTAATGAGCTCTATGATCAGCTCCCTCGCACGCCGCAGAGTGATGCCGGGAGCCGGGTGTTCTTTTAGCGATTGTACATGCATAACAGATATCGGGGGTCAAAGTTAGAAAGTGTTTTTTTTTTTAACAGATTTTATAATTTTTTGTTTGTAAATTATGATATGATAAAAATAATGGTATCTTTAGAAAGACCATTTAATGGTGAGAAAAACAGTATGTAATATGTGTGGGTACAGTAAATGAGTAAGAGGAAAATTACTGCTAAACACAAACACCGCAGAAATGTAAATTACCCTGGTCCTTAACGGTAAGAAAATAAAAAAATGGTCTGGTCACTAAGGGGTTAAATAAAGTATGAATTGGAACGTCAGAACATGCCAAGATCAAGGGGAGACGGAAACTGAAATAACGAAAGCTAAAGTTTGGTCAAGGAAGCCGGAAAAACAAAAAAGTCAAAGAACAGCCATGTCAAATACCAAAATGAATTAGAAAACCTACAATTTCTGGGGAAATTGTGTGAAGTGTTCTTGCCTCCACCAGTAGTGATGTACCGAACGGTTCGCCGGCGAACGGTTCCTGGCGAACATAGCATGTTCGCGTTCGCCACGGCGTGCGAACATATGCGCGGTTCGACCCGCCCCCTATTCGTCATCATTGAGTAAACTTTGACCCTGTACCTCACAGTCAGCAGACACATTCCAGCCAATTAGCAGCACAGCCTCCCTAGCAGACCCTCCCACCTACTGGACAGCATCCATTTTAGATTCATTCTCAAGCTGCATGCTTAGTAAGAGGAGGGAAAGTGTAGCTGCTGTTCATAAGATAGGGAAAAGCATAGCTAGGTTAGGGATAAGGGTATGCTTTTTTTGGATTTTTTTTTTCTATCTAATGTAAATGCACTTAGTTGTCTGCCACTGCTGCCAGCTTCTGTGTCAGGCTCACAGTGCCCATTTCCCCAGTCAGTGCCACCAATTACATCTGGTGTCACAATAGCTTGGATTTAAAAACAAAAAACTTTTTTCACTGTTATAGATTGAATAGCAGTCAGTTGTCTGCCACTGCTGCCAGCTTCTGTGTCAGGCTCACAGTGCATACTGTGCCCATTTCCCCAGTCAGTGCCGCGTACATCTGGTGTCACAATAGCTTGGATTTAAAAAAAACTTTTTCACTGTTATAGATTGAATAGCAGTCAGTTGTGTCTGCCACTGCTGCCAGCTTCGCAATGTCAGGCTCACAGTGCATACTGCCCATTTCCCCCGGTGGTGCCACCAATTACATCTGTGGTGTCACAATAGCTTGTTAAAACAAAACTTTTTTACTGTTATAGATTGAATAGCAGTCAGTGTCCTTAAAGCGGGTGTGTTACGCTAACAGTGGATACGCTGACAAGTGCCACTAATTAGATCCTGTGTCACAATAGCTTGGATTTAAAAAAAGTAATAATCTTTTTTCACTGTTATAGATTGAATAGCAGTCAGTGTCCTTAAAGCGGGTGTGTTACGCTAACAGTGGATACGCTGACAAGTGCCCCTAATTAGATCCTGTGTCACAATAGTTTGGATTTAAAAAAAAAATAATCTTTTTTCACTGTTATAGATTGAATAGCAGTCAGTGTCCTTAAAGCGGGTGTGTTACGCTAACAGTGGATACGCTGACAAGTGCCACTAATTAGATCTGGTGTCACAATAGTTTGGATTTAAAAATAATCTTTTTTCACTGTTATAGATTGAATAGCAGTCAGTGTCCTTAAAGCGGGTGTGTTACGCTAACAGTGGATACGCTGACCAGTGCCACTAATTAGATCTGGTGTCACAAT